ATCTGAAACCTTGACACAACCGAATCAGAAGATCTTTATCAATTTTAGACTTTGTCCTAGTTATGACCGACTTCAAAGATTGTACAGGTACGCGGACATTTAATGACTTCTTTTTTCTTTCTTTTTTTTTTTTTTTTACAGTAAGGCACACCATTTACAAGGCCACTCGAGGTAGAGGCTTACGTTAAGTGACAATTTGTGAGGATAGGATGGGAAGATAACGGTTAACCCTCGACTTAAACAGGTTAAGATTGTAGTGATCGGGGAAACATCCTCTGAGCAATGGCTCGCCGGAAGAAGCTGTTCGATGAAACTTACTTCTCACCGATTGAATACGAATGAAATGTGGCTGGTTTGCCTTAATGTGAGTTGAATGACAGATCCTAGTCGGGACTTCCGTCTCAACATCGACCCAATACGTATTCAGGTCTGGAGAGCTAGAAGGCCATATGTTTTGGGCGATATGATCGTAGATATTGTAACTCATCCATTAGGTTAAGATTGTAATGATTGGGGGAACGTCCTCTTTGGGGTCGGTTCCACAGAGTAATGGTCGCGGGAAGAAGCTGTTCGTCGCCTTTTTACTTCGAGGCTTAAGGATAAATCCTGCTGACTATAAGGAAATATCGGAGATGGTTATGAGAACTAGAATAGAGAATCTGAGCAAAGGAAGACCGCACACCTACCAGCAAGACGTTGAGACGTCTCATAAGATTAAAAACGACACAAGAAAGGATGAGTTACTGTTAAGTGCTGAGAAGTCGTGCTATGTCTTTAATTTACAGATATTAGTGTTTTGACCGCAGTTTGGGGGTTAACTATATGCCCATAGCTTGGAGCCTAACAGCTGCAACATAACCGGGTCAGGGTGGACCTGGGAACACCAGCAATTAAGAGGCGGTTCCACGCTTCTCAAAACCTCCTGATCAGAGACCTTGCTTTTGGACGTAGTTTATCGTCCTACCTAGGACGCGGATGTAGTTTATCGACGGGCCGAGGATTCAATGCCAACGTAGTCAGAGCATAAAGAAAGCATAGTATAATATTATTAATACCATAATAGTATGAAAGTATTATATTATAAATACAAAAATAATAATAAAAGAGTAACCAAGATCGCTACAAAAAGTATGCTCTGACTATCGGATTTTGATTACTATTTGAACATTATTCTCTTAATGTTAATATAATATGATATATATATATATATTTATTAAAGACATTTTTATGTTTAACGTTGTTATTTATAGATACAAGTATTTAAGCAAATGCTCTGTTTATGATAAACAGTATTAAATAAGAAGAAATGAGAAATTTTCATAGAAAATATTCGTTCTTTGACAGGATTCGAACCTGCATCCTATACGGAACCGTCATTTACGCTGACGTGCCTTACCTCTGGGCCTCAAAGAACCCTTTCGGTAGACACGGTCGAATTTACTGCTTATAAATTTCAATCTTCCATGAATCTCGTACATTCATAACTGCTCTGGCGTATCAAATGTAAACAAATGACGTCATATATTAAGAAATGGACAAGGTCCAACAATTTATTTATTAAAGACATTTTTTTGTTTAACGTTATTATTTATAGATACAAATATTTAAGCAAATGCTTGTTTATGATAAACAGTATTAAATAACATTTACCTGACGAATGTCCGAGAAGTTTTTTCACTGAAAGGTTTCAGGCCCAGAGGTTAGAACGTCATCGTAAATGACGGTTCCGTATAGGATGCAGGTTCGAATCTCTGTCAAAGGTTCTTTATTTTCTATGAGGTTTTCGTCGGACATTCAGTTCGGTAAATGTTATTTAATACTGTTTATCATAAACAGAGCATTTGCTTAAATTTTTGTATCTATAAATAACAACGTTAAACATAAAATGTCTTTAATAAATAAATTGTCGGACCTTGTCCATTTCTTAATATATATATATATATAATATTTATTTAAAAATTATATATATATATATATATATATATATATATATATATATATATTTAAAAATATATGCAATTTAATTTATAAATTCATCATTACACAATAAAAACAAATAGAAGGTTAATGATTTAAATGGCGAGAATACATCGAAAAAGATACACCAACCCCGAATTTATATGAATGATATGATCCCAGTTTATAAATTCCAGTTGCATTTTTTTCCTTCAGACATCCTCAGGTATGAAAATAGATTTGTTCTATTTTTTCGGATTACATCTCTATTTTCGTTGTCCTCTTATTACCGAGAAGTAAAAACAAGAACAAAATCTACTTCCATACCTGATGATGTCTGTAGGAACAGACGAAAGCTTGTAAAAAAATTAAAAAGACCTTATGCAACTGGAATTTATAAACAGGGATCATATCATTCATATACAGATTTGGGGTTGGTGTATCTTTTTGATATTGTTTGCGAAGATGTATTCTCGCCATTTAAATCATTAACCTCTCTATTTGTTTTATTGTATGAATGATTCATGAATTTATATATATATATATATATATATATATATATATATATAATATTTATTTAAAAATTATAACATAAATATGTTATAAAAACACTACAAAAATAGCCATTTTGTTTCAACACTTATGGTGTCTTGTCAAGTGATGGTCTTGATTGTAAAATAAAAGATTTTAAAAAGTTCAAAACCAACCACTACCCCCACTAGGGGGAATACGTTTACGTAAGATGTAAAGGCCAATCAATGGCTATTTTTGGAGAGATGTTATAATTTTTAAATAAATATTATATGCTCTATTTTTTTTAATATTGTTTTTGGTTACTGGAAATGGAAATAGTGTTTTTCGTTTTATTCCTCGATACCAACTTTGTATCGGATATATATATATATATATATATATATATATATATATATATATATATATATATATATATATATATATATATATAAGAAATAAAAGTGTGAAGCTTGATATTGCTAGACATTTCTAAAAGCAAAGCAACCGGTTTCGCTCCCGCTCTTCAGGCCTCCACGGGAGATTTAACTTAAATTAAAACACTAGAAAATGTGCAATGAGAAAAAAAGAAAGTTGAACACAAGAGCTAGAGACAAATAACAGCGAGACCCAACACACCTAAAGCAATCTATTTACATGACTGTTATGTTGCTAATTATGTCAAATTAACACAAGTTCATTTTCAATCCATTTATGTTCTTAATGTTATCAACTTAAAGCAATCTATTTACAGTCCAGTTATGTTGTTAATTTTACCAACATAACCCAATCTTCTTACAGTTCAGTTATGTTGTCAATTTTGCCAGTTTAACCACATCTATTTACTTTACTATTATGTTATCCAATTACAGTCCAGTTATGGTGTTAATTTTACCAACGTAACCAAATCTATTTACAGCTCTGTTATGTTGTTAATTTTTCCGACATAAACCAATCTATTTACAGTCCAGTTATGTTAATTTTATCAACTTAACCCGATCTATTTAGAGTCCAGTTATATTAATTTTACGAACTTCACCCAATGTATTTACAGTCAATCTATGTTATAAATTAACCCAATCTATTTACAGTCCAGTTATGTCGTTAACTTTACCAACTTAACCCACTCTATTACAGTCCACTATGTTGTTAATTTTACGAAATTAAATCAACCTTATACTCCATTAATGTTACGCGCTCTATTCATCAAAATCCAGTGATGCTAAGGGCAGAACAGTGTCTCTTCTTTATAGACACTGGAACAAGAAATGTAATATTTATCTGGGTTATATCGAGAGCGAAATTGCACAAAATAATTTGATAAAATATGACCCAAAATAATTTGATAAGATATGACCCAAAATAATTTGATAAAATATGACCCAAAATAATTTGATAAAATATGACCCAAAATAATTTGATAAGATATGACCCAAAGCTGTATTTAAACCCTTAGGAAAAGTGAATTTATTTGCGAAAGATATTAAAATAAACCAAAATATTTCTAGTGTGTCATTCTGTACAGCATACATATAGTGTTTCTAAATATATCCAGTGTATATATATATATATATATATATATATATATATATATATATATATATATATATATATATATTCGTCTCGGATGCTACTTGAATTTTACCAAAAACAAAATAATTTCTATGCTTGAAGATGACTGAATATAAAGTCGAAAGTACTTGTGTATTAAAGAAAGACCTTATACAGCTTATAATTTTTAAAAACAAGGATCATAACATTCATAAAGTGATTTGTAGGTTAATGCACCTTAAAAATTTTGTTTGCGAAGGGATTACGCCATTTTATATCATTAACTTTACTAATCTACATTTTGCATGAATGATTCATTGTAAAATATATATATATATATATATATATAAATATATATATATATGTGTGTGTGCGTGTGTGAGTGTATGTGTTCTGTATATATATGCATATATGATTATATATACGGTATACTTTATATACGTGCAATTATACAGTATATAATTATTTATGCCATATATACATGTTAATAGTATTTACATTATGATCATAACTAGTGGCAGTTACTATAGTGTTTTTATAACTCAAAATAATCCATTCCTATCTACGGCCAATCGACTTTAACAGACCCCTATTAGTCCGTTGATGAGGTTTGTCTATAAGTTTATTAACACACACACATATATATATATATATAACTTGTATCTAACTGTTTCTGTATTTTTCATTTTGTTTTTACGTACATGTAATACGTTTTTATTTCACATTCTTTTTTAGATTATCTTACTTTACAAACTTTTCCTTTTGTTTTTCTTCCAACTTATAACGCGCGGCCATTTCTCTGACAACCTCCAACTCTCTCGCTAATGTCAATGTTCATCTTCATTCTGCACCACTCATCCAATTTCGTCCTTTCAACCATTTACAAGGACCATTCCTCGAAAGCAATAAATCTGAACTTGTGTTTGTTCTTCTCGTTATTTCACCCCCGTTCGAACAAGCGACATTATATCCGACTTCGGTAGCACCCACCACCTTGGCTAGTGTTTGTCCTTCTTCAATGTTCGTCTCTCGTCTCACTGCGATTTTCAATGTCCGTGCTAGTCCACGGTCCGATGGTTAGTTAGCAAAACACTGAAAGGGAAGCCTGCGGCTAAAGTAGAAGATTGTCCAATAGATACCGTCCTGTCAGTGTCCACCATAATTGTGAGAGGCATCTGTTTGGTTACTTTTCGATTCCCGACAATTGATTTGTTAGTTGGAGTCGCTCCTTTTTGTCGGCCATGATGGTAGCGAGCGACCCTTACGGAGAAAGCGGGCGGTATTCATTTGCGAAGCTACAGATGGTGCTCTTGACCGAGAAATAATAAAAATGAATAAAAAGGAGGAAAAATGGCGAGGATGAGTGAATTTGTATCTTGTGGTATCTGGGTAACAACAGCCGGAAAATGTTTTCTGGCGTATCGGACATAGCGTGTTTGCTTAGCAACATGGAGATAGAGCGTTGTGTTTTATAGCAACGTTATCGGCAATGAGAGACAAGCAGGCTTATCAAGCAAGTTAGCGAGCGAAAACAATATTCGAATTGATTGATGGCGGGCGGGGGAACGGAGAACGGAAAGCAAACAGACGGCGAATTAAAATGATATATACATAGAATAAACAAATCAGTCATTCATTCATTCATTCTATCTATCTATCTATCTATCTATCTATCTATCTATCTATCTATCTATCTATCTCAGTTTGTTCATATCTATCTATCTTTCTAGATAGATAGATAGATAGATAGATAGATAGATAGATAGATAGTGAGAGAGAGAGAGAGAGAGAAAAGAAAAGATAGAAATATATATAAAAAGATTAAAATAATGTACAGATAAACACAATGGTATATATATATATATATATATATATATATATATATATATATATATATATATATATATATAGATAGATAGAGATATGAAGAGACTGTAATAGATATATAAATAGGTAGATATATGGATGATTATATAGATAGATATGGACATACTGTAATAGATAGATAGATAGATAGATAGATATAAACCGATTTAGACTGATCGATCTGAATTGTTCGATAGATAATATCGACAGAGTTACAGACAGATAAATAGATAGATAGAAAGGAACACATTAACATAAATAAATAGAAAGATAGAAAGGAAGAGATTAACACACACGCACACACACACACAACACACACACACACATATATATATATATATATATATATATGTAAATAGATAGATAGATAGATAGATAGATAGATAGATAGATAGATAGATAGATAGATAGAAAGAAAGAAAGAGATTAACATAGCTAGCTAGCTAGATAGATAGATTGGAATGATTACAGAAGGAATGATTTCAGGAATTTGGAAGAGAGAGTGTCAAATGTAATCGTATCAAACCTCAAAATACTGAAAGTAGATAGATAGATAGAAAGAAAGAAAGAAAGAAAGAAAGAAAGAAAGAAATAATTAGACAGATGGATCGACAGATTATGCCGGTATTCCATCTTTATTCAACAATTCCATTTATCTATGTCATTAATGATTTAACTATCTTAACATTTTTTAATTTAACTGGTTAGAGATTGTATCTTTTCATTTTAAGGGGACTGGTTTAGCAGTTTTATGGTTGCTGCATCACTACTGGTAGCAAGGAGACCAAATGCTTTGACAAGGCCGAGAAAGTCTGTTCTGGTTAACAGTCACTTAAATATTGGCGTATTTGCAGTGCCATGTCGCACATGGATAGGTGTCCTTGCTTGTAGGCTTTCTTCTTAACAATCTTTCGGCGGTTTCTATTGCCATAGACGGTAATAATTATTTTGGTTTTTCTCTTTATAAGAATTAAAATAAGTTTTTTTCATGAAAGTTGCAATTAAAAGAAGTACAAGTAAATCAGTAAAGAAAAAATAACCCCTCCCTCTGTCAACTTTTTTTACTCCAATATTCGCGGTATTCATACCAATTTCTTTGTAGAATTTTTACTCTTGAGACGTTCTCCAGATATCTAATTTAAATTCTTCTATCGCTACCAATGAATTATATGTTCCAGGCTATCGTTTTCTTTATTGAAAACTTCCTAGAATAGATATGAATGGCTTTAGTGTTTATATCTGAGAAAAACTTCTAGTGGTGAGGGTATCGATTCTTCAGTCCCCGGATGATTTTTTTTTGTGCTTTCGCCTTTCTTTACTGCATTTTGTTAGCTATCTCTTTTCCCTTTATCACACCCCTTCTTCTCAGGACTGTGACCTATTAGAAAAAAAAACATATTTTTCCTCTGAAGTGGAAAGATTACATTGCATCAATTGGTAGGTCTGCTACTAGGAAAGTTGTTTCACTGTGTAGCGCTAGACGATTTTCCCCCGAAAGAATCTATTTTGCACATATATAAGGTTACTATTCGTCCGTTCGTTGAATATAATTATTTACCCGCTGCCCCGACGCAGCAAGATGTGGCACAGGGCCGAGTTTAAAGCAAAAATTCCCTAGAGACCACGTAAAAACGGAGTCAGTTTCCCGACAGGAGACTCTGCCCTTCGGCAGAGCCTCGTCTGGGAGATACCCTCTGACATAAGCCAGGTAAGTATTCGTTAAACATAGCTGCCATATCTGATATCTAAGTATGGGCATCTCGACGTGGTGTAATGGTTAGCAAGCTTGTCTCGCTAGAACAATTACGACTGAGTAGTGAGTTCGATCCTTACTTTCGGCCTTGTGCTGGGCTTAGAAAATCACTAGGGCACCTCGGCGTGGTGTAATGGCTAGAAAGCTTGTCTTGCTAGGTCAGTTACGACACTGGATCCTCACTGGATGCCCCTTGCTTTCGGCCTTGTGCCACATCTAAGCTACGCTTGGAAAATTATGGGCACCTCGGCATGGTGTAATGATTAGCAAGCTTGTCTTGTTAGAACATTTACAATTGAGTAGTGAGTTCGATCCTCACTGGATGCCCCATACTTTCGGCCTTGTGCCACATCTAACCTGCACTTAGAAAATCTCTATCTGATATCTAAGTATTCGTTAAATATAACTGCCATATCTGATTTAGTGCTTTTATTATGAATTTAGAGATTCTTGATAAAATCCAAAGAGGATCTGCAATGTTATCAATCCTGACCTGGCATCTTCGATTTATTTGCTTTCCCATCGCCGTAACGTAGATTAACTTTGAAAAAAAAATATTTGCATGATAATTATTCTGATGACCTTTTTCCTCTTTGGCATCCAGAGTTTACGAATTTAAGCACAGAATTACGCCGACAGATGGTCTCATTATTTTAAGGTTGAAATATCTAGATGTATCCGGAAGTTCTATGCTAACACTTTCTTCTCTCACATCTCTCGCTTGTGGAACTCACTTCCGAATTCTTACTTACCAGTTAGAAAATTAAATGCAATGCTAATCGTTAACTTCTTCCCTCTAAATTCCCGCTCTTTTATTGTTCTGTCTCGTTTATAATATTTTTATCTTTTTCTTTATATTATTTCACACTCAGTAACCCCTTGCATCTTAGTTGCTTTATTGCTTTTGGTTATAGATAAATAGATAGATATATTGCTAGATAGATAGAAATAAAGCGGCTAACGTAGATAGATAGATAGATAGATAGAGAGAGAGAGAGAGAGAGAGAGAGAGAGAGAGAGAGATAGAGATGGGACAGATTGCGATAGATAGGCGGGAAAAGATTTTAAATCGGTAAAGCACGTCAGGCTATACGACGGTTCCGTATAGGATACAGGTTCGATTCCTGTCGGAGGACGCATATTTTCTATGATAATTTCTCGGACATTCAGACCTGTAAATGCCGTTAATACTGTTTATTATAAAGAGAGCATTTACTTAAATACTTGTATCTATAAAAATGTATAAACATAAAAATGTCTTTATATATATATATATATATATATATATATATATATATATAGATAGATAGATAGATAGATAGAGAGAGAGAGAGAGAGAGAGAGATAGATAAATTATAAATATTATAAACAAAGCATTTACTTAAATATTTGTATCTATAAAAAGATGTATAAAGATAAAAATGTCTTTTATATATATATATATATATATATATATATATATATATATATATATATATATATATATATATATTCATGAATTATTCACACAAAAACAAATGCAAAAGTTAATGATTTAATTGGCGAGAAATCCATCGTCGCAAACAATTCAAATAATATACAAAAAACCTCCGAATCCGTTATGAATAAAATGATCCTTGTTTCTATAAATTTCTGTCGTATTAGTTCTTATTTTTACTACAAGCTTTCGTCTGTTCCTACAGACATTTTCAGGTATAGAATAGATGTTGTTCTTGTTTTTTCTCTTAGTAATTTCTCGCCAATTAAATTATTAACCTTTGCATTTGTTTTGTGTGAATAATTCATGAAATTGATTGCACGTTTATCGTAATATATATATATATATATATATATATATATATATATATATATATATATATATATATAGCGTAGAGCGCATATTTTCTCTAATAAGATTTCTCGAATATTCAGGCCACTAGACGAAAATAAATAAATATACTATTTAATATATAAACAGAGCCTTTACTCAAATACGAGTATCCACTAAAAGTAACTTTTAAATAATAAAATCTCTCGGATTGATGAATAAAAATCAATCCATTATATATATATATATATATATATATATATATATATATATATATATATATATATATATATATATATATATATATAACCAGTACCCAGTGCGCTGCTGGTTATGTGGGGCGAACCACCTTACATTTAGAAACAAGGATCAATCAGCATATGTCTTCGAAAATAAGACTTGGCAAAATAAGTAACTTATGTTACCTTCCTTCTTCGAATATGGAATCTGCTATCGCGCAATATTTGGTGGAAAATATAGCATGTGCCAAGTCTTACAAAAAAGAGTGGTTTAGAGTTATTCATAGAACTGTTACCAATAATTATTAGGTTGGTGCAAAAATAATGACGTAATAATGTCGTTTTTTAACGTATTTTTTAACGTCAGAAAACGACATTATTACGTCATTATTTTTGCACCAACATAATATTTAAGGATTTTGGAATCAGTCTCTATATCACTGCGCAAATATGCTATCTACCGGCAGAAGGATTTTGTCAAGTGTCTTAATTTGTTGGGGGATATTTTATTTTAATTGTCCCACGCTAATTGTATTCACGCGAGATTTCCCCTTCCCTCGATATATACATATATACTAAACCGTTGGTATAATCCAAGCGAGTCCTATTAACATAATAGAGAATTTTAAATATTAAATGTTAAAACTGACTCACGAAGAGCGCTCAATGTCTATTTTCATTAAACAGAACAAATTTTTTCGTACAGTTGGAATTAAGATACCATTAGTTAATGAACATTTACACGCGTGAATTTTAGATTTAAAATTCGCAGGATTTTTCAAACAGTTTATGGTATCAGTTTGCAGAAGGGGACCAGGTGAAAATGCCCATTAACTAATGGTATCTTACTTCCAATTGTACGATATATATATATATATATATATATATATATATATATATATATATATATATATATATAAGTTGTTGTCGAATTACGACCGATGCTACTTACGACTGTTCGAATTTACGACTACGATCACGAACGGGTATATCTGGCTACGATCACTCCGCCTCTGGCAGCGTGAGTTTCCCAGTGCGCTTGAAGCTCAATGTTGGCGCACCCTC